ACTTTCAGGGTTCCAGCGTTTAACCACAAAATTTATTACTGACGCTGTAACTTACTTAGGAATAAGAGAAAACAAAAAAAAACCATAAGTATACCTCAGACTAACGCGATTATGAACTATTTTTGGTGACACTTCATTTCAGACACCAATCATTCGATCGATCGATCGGAAGGATGTTTACTAAAAGCGAGTGCTTTGGAATGGTCGAAAACGCAGTTGGGAATGTGTAGGAATATGAGTAGGACTAGAGATGTGGAAACAAGTAAATGATGCAATGTGAACAGAAATTCTGTTGGGTATAACTCGGATGATAGTCGCAATAATGGTGTGGTAAATGCGTATCTCGCTGACGGCTTTCAGCAAGTGAACAGGATAAAACCGGGTGTCAAGGTGAGACGTCCGGGATGCTGTTCGGTGAACAGAACATTCAGTTACAAAATGAGAGACAGAGTCAGCTTGCAAGGACACATGCCACAGACTTGACCTTGAGGTTCTAGTCCAAACTTTTAACAAGCGAATAGTTCACCAGACCCAGCCGGGAAATGAGCGGTGGAAAAATGTGCTAGCGACCCGATATATCAGATTATGGACATGTTTGAGATCGACAAAAGCGCGTTCAAGATCTGAACTGCGATCGAGAGCAGGTGGGAATGGACGTGATTCGAATGGTTTGTGTCAGTGCGGTGGTATTCATTCCCACGCAGGAGCTGATGAGCGGCATATTTATAAATCCCTAGTAAAATCACATGATCTGGATTGGGCATCATGGATGTACCGTATTTTGGGGCAAATAGTTTACTGACTTCTGTTATGGACTCGGACAAATGCCACACGCACACATACACACAAGTTCTTGGGATGTTGGATCCCGTTCTATCAGGAACATGATCCACAATAGAAACAATTCCAATTCCCACAGCGACACACGCTTCTCCTGCAAACCTTAGTTAATAAATCTCGCCTCAACCTATCTTGATCCTGTTTGTACACTGATCGTGGAATTTCGTAGGATATATCAGCTACCGCCAGAGCCGCAAACATCGGTAGGGATAAGCAGACAGCATTGCAAGCATACCAGTCGTTTTACGACTCGCATAGGATCACATTGGCGAACAGCGGGGGGGGGGGGAANGGGTGAAGCCAGGCGAACATCAGGGCACAATAAACGTGTACATCAAGATCGATCGGCGAACAAACCAGTCGGTTTTTTTTCGGTGTACGTATGCATCAAGGAATCTATAGTACACTCGATGAGAACCTTTTCACTCAGCTCAATTTCAGCTTCCAGTATGGATGTACTTTTGTGTGTTCTACCGAGCCATCGGAGTAGATAGAACATTGGTGGATACACGGAAACCCGTTCGATAAAATCGATCAGCTTTGGCACCATACTGACATCGATTTAGTGTCCTTCTTACGTGTTGCCCAATCAAAGTTGCAAAGATACCGAGTCACGGTGTTTTAATCAAATGCAAATCGCAGCTTGGTATACCGTTGAATTACAAACACCGATGTTTCGAGGAGCTGAGGAAAGCCATACTGTGATGGAGATGACGCAGAATCTATTGACATCACCCCTATAGACCGGGAATTATTAGTTGCGTGAGAACTTTTTGATAAATGTGAATCCCAGATATGCTCAAATGAAGTTTCAACTTCGGTTTTCAGGTTTCACAACCAGTGAGTTTGTAATTTCGTGTGGCAGTTGATCATTCCGCTTTGAGGCCACCCAATTGATCCAGGGGATGAGAGACCGAGTCCTTAAATCGAGGTGCACTCGGAAAAGAAAGCGATAAAAGACAAGAGTAGATGTACGATTGCAAATGTTTACGATATTCAGTGTGAACACTGTCTCCCCCCCACCACCACCACCTAATCATCACTTCGACTCATTCCGAGGTCTCCTACGGGGAACACTATCACACTATCAAATGTCCGAATCCTCTGGTTGGGGCTTTCCTATCCCCATGCCAGGTTTTAATTTGACCACCTTTAGCCCTGTTTCATCGATTATCTATTTACCTGGACAAACATCATCGGTAGACGAATTATAGCTGATGGCACACAAGCCACAACTATCACCGTACAGAAGTGCCGGTCAACCTGACGCAGCAGACAGACAACAGACACTTTAAAAGAAATGGCGGATGTCGTGAGGGCATCATAGGTGTGTCTCAAATAGGCACAAGTCCACCGAACCTCTTGTGAGCGTGTCAAAACTTTACTGGTGATACATTCCCCCCCCCGCCCCGCGCTCGCGCGGGTGAGGTGTAGCTAGACCACTCTCAACAGCTTTCCCTAGTTAGGTTAAGGGCTGGAAGTTCATTCGATCTGTTCAATTCTGTTATGAAATTTTGCAGACACTAGGTCGAACATAGCCTTTTTCAATCCGGTCATAGACTGATGCATCCGGGGGCCGGGGGGGGGGANGGGGCCGGGGGGGGGATGGAAAGTTACAAAATCATGCAATTAGTGGATATTGTCTTGGTCAGATCGTCATTCAGTATGTTCGATCATGGGACTGAGTGTCCGCACAAAGCTTGCTAGTTCATTCGGACTAGATGCATTATTCATCTTCGTTTTCAGTAGCTCTCCGAAGGACTGTGGCAGGTGAGTGGTTTGTGTAGAACTGACGAAGTCTAACAGAGCTATACACTTTGGAATTGGGCTAAACTCGGAGTCGAGTCTTTTAACAGTGGCAGTTTGTCTTTTGTGTTTATGGGTACTGCCCAATAGGTGATTGATAGCCCTTCATATACCACCACTACTGAAGTTTCTTAGGAAAATGTCCATGTACAATTTATTTAAAAGACTAATTTCAGGTTTGATCAGAATTGTAAACCACTCGACACGTGTTATCTGTCCATGCTTATAGACCCACACTTTCCGCCTGTGTAGCTGTTTTAGTACCGGTGATGAATATCTATCCTTATGAATGAAGACCGTTTCAACTGGGTAACATTGGTTAAAGCAAAAAATAGTTAGTTAGTAACATGCTCACGCGGGACGAACACTCGTGGGACTATACAAATTATATCCATCCAATGGTACAATTTAATTGGGAATTACTTCGTAAAACCAGAAATTTGTACTCCATTTTTCATACAGAGAATGAACGTCGCTCATTAAAATGAGAGGAATTGGCATTCAAATGCTACTGCACTGTCTGAGACCGACTTGTCAACCAGTGCGATATTCCCCTGTGTCTTGATAATCCACTGGAACTAATAGCTCACTTTGTTGGAATATTTCACAAAAGGTACAGTTCGCGTGGTAGCACATACAGATTTTAAAAACGTGCTTGTGTAAGATTAGCATTTAGTGTCCTTGAAATGAATCAAAACGCGATTGGTCATCAACAAATCGACAAGAAAGGTGTAATAGGATTCTGGTACGAAATGGCGTTGCCGAAATCAAACGCGTCGCTTCTAAGCTTCTATGCAGATAGACCTACCCGGGGTCTTCACTAAACAGTAAAATTTTGTCTGCATACTCTAGATCAGACAAGTTGCCATCCAGTGAAATATCGATACCGCTAACCTGAAACGAGGACATGGCCGTCCGCATCTCAAACCAAATTGGAAAGAAAAGAGCAAGCAGTCGTGATAACCAGTACGATATACGTGAGCTCGATCGAAAATTGGCCGTCAAATCGACTGTTTGTAAACAAGGGGTCGCAGTGATGGAATAGACTGCTCCGATACACCATTCAAAAAGAGGCAGTGCTGAAGTATCATGCGGTTGACTGATCAGAAAGCTGCTTTCAAATCACGAAAGATAGAAATCGCAGTTCTACAGAAGGGTAAAAATACGGTCGATGCATCCATTCCCCGATCGGATCTTTTCTGTCTAATCCTATTGAGAAAAATATGACAGAAAACAGACAGACAGAGAGGGAATGAGGTTGCACACAACGGGCCAAAACACGCACCTGTTCGGCTATCAGACGCCAACAGTAGGAGTCATTGCTACGATCCATTTCATAGGTTTCACCCAGAAGCGGATTGAACGGTTTCCCGGTCCGGATCGCTGTGCTGGCGTAGCAACTGACAGAGAACGCGGCGACCAGGGCCATCTGTTCGGCCGGATCGGTCACTTGAGACGCTTGATCTAAGAGATAGGAATAGGTGAGATCCTCCGCGGCGCGTTGGAGAAACGAGATCGGTTCATTAAAATTGACCTGAGCAGGATCGAGGGTCGGGGAGGGAAATGAACAGGGAAGTATAAACACCAGACTGATTGATTGATTGCACGTTTGCAGATACAAGGGTACGGGTGCGACCGAATTTGTGAAAAAAGGTCAATTTAAAATGGATGATAAAAACATATTTTCGCGCAAAAAGGAATTGATGGAAACAAGGCTCAAAAAAGAAAAGCCATTCCGTGCTTTGATTTCAGAATAATTGGGACTTGGGTAATTGAATCTTTTTACTGTCACTACACGGTCCACGGAGACGAGCATAGTGTACCCAAAATTAAGGGAGTTATATAAGAGCAATTGCAAGAACTGCGACTCCCTGACTGTTTGATCGTGTCGATTGTGATAGTAAACAACCAATTGGACTTGTACCACGGAACATCCCAGAAACAAACAAAATCGATCTATCGATTCGGGGGACAAGCGAACGCTTAGGATCATTCACATCATTGAGACTGAGTAAAAATTGACCACCTGTAGCCATTTAGGTGTGCGTGATGTGTTTCGGTGAAGTCACTTCGGAAATCGTTAATTAAACAATGCGTTCTCCCTATGTTACTTTATTGCTGCCTGCAGTGTTTCCCGGTCTATCCGTCGTGGATTGAGGATAGTAAACCGTGCATCTTTAATTTTTCCCGAGTCATTAATCACAGAACTTAATAAAGGTCATATGAAGTTTTGTGTGACTTTTGCCAATAATATTCTAAACGACCCCTCCCATCCGTTGCATCTTGACTTATCTTCTTGCCAATCCCAATCGATCACTTGTTCTTCTTATCAGTATCTATACCATCGAATAGACATTTATAAAAACTCCCCTGTACCACATCTCGCTCGAATCTTGACCAACAAGGAACGTGTTTGAAATGAATTACGTCAATCTTTACTTGACTGAATCAAACCTCGGAAATATTTTTTTTACACAGCACTCCATTGGATTTGTCTACACTTCTATATTTTCTCCGGTACGACGACCAGTGTGCAATTTTTAACGGAAATATAAACATATTTCAGATTGCAAAACTTATACAAATATAAGATATAAAATTAGAAATGGCACGGTTCAGAACAGTCTGACAAAAAGTGCGATTCATATCTTTCAAAAAATTCCCACGTCAACAGATTGAGACAAATTATTGATTGATGTGTACAAATCAAGAACTGGAAAGATAAAATCAAACTATGATATTCTAAATTCAGAGAGCCGTAGAATTTCTTCGTAAGGATCATTGAAATATTAGTTCAGGACCAAGGATCCCGTTCGGGACAAAAAGATAGATAGTATCCACATGTGATATACCTCGTCGATCGGAACAATCATTTTTCCATTAGAAAAATATGTGTAAATAATGCAATCAACGATTGAGGAGTAAATGATCACCCAAAGGGAGTGAGCCCTGTACGCTAAGTTTTTTATTATTATTACAAGAAAGATAAGCTGTAGGTGGGAAGGTAAAGGGAAACATTCGAGCTAGAATCAATTTATTGATTCCGTGTTTGAATATAAGGATGTTGTACGTTGAAGGGAAGACTAAAAGGCGCGGGTGGGGATTGGAGTGGAGTGGAGTGTTTCGCAGCTATGTTGTTCTCGGGGATAGACACTTGAAATGGGGGTGGCCTAGCCGCTTGTGCGCGGGATCTATGAGGAAGATTAGGCAGGAAAAGGACAGAAACGGAAGGTTTACTGTTGGAGCAAAATCCAACAAACAGAAGCTGCTGATATAGTTAGTGCCTGTGAACTAGAATAAACTAATCCACATATGGAATTCCAAGTGTATGCGAGTGATTTCATCAAAATCACGACAATCTACGCCAGAGATGGTGATCGCATGACAATGGTCTTGGAAGATATATAAATGTACATTCGAGGAGGCGGGTGTGTGTGTGTGTAGGAGGTGAGCAAGTTGAACCAGATACTTGGATAGGAGATATCCTGTAATAGTAATAGTAATGATAAAACATCCTATGTCAAATTGCTGACGGGGACAATACGCTAAGGATTAGACCCAAATGGAACTGCTGGTTAGTTCGTTGGCGTGTACGGAGATACAGGTCGCTATATTCATACACACAGAACAAAATTACAGTGAGAACTTTCCCGAAGTTTCTTATTTTCTTCCCATCAGTGAATAGGGAAACGAATTTGAAAAAAAACAGAACTTTATATTAGTCTGAGCTAGAACGAATCACGCAATCGTGCTTGTCCGGAAATTCATCCCGATCGATCGATTCCGTTCGTAACTCGTCAAAAAGTTCACATTCATCAGAACCAGGTGGCTCAGACCAAATTTAAAAATGAACGTACAAAAAATAAGCGACAACGGTGGCCGGGAGAGGGGGTTGCACGGAACAGTGTGCTTCCGGAAATATTGAGCAATTACGAGGGCCTTCAAGTCGATTCAAATCGAAAATCTGCTTTATTACACCATNCACCATCTGATGACGATGCAAATTTACCTGCTAAATGCCCCCCCCCCACACACACACAAAAGAATGAAGATACGCATAAGCAGACTGCGTTTAGGGACAGAAATCATGAAAAATACGATCCGGTGGACAGAAAAATCGGACAAGTTAGAGAACTATGAAAGAGTTAGGAGGGTGACAGGAGGTAGATAGTAGTTTGTGAATCCGTTTTATTCGGAGCTTGGATGTATTTGAACTAAACGTGACGGATTGTGTGAGTATTGGGTCAACCGTAAATGTTTGGAGTAATCTAAGTATAACGTATATATTCTTTTGTAAGAAAATAGAAAAAAAAATTAACTGGATGGGGCATAGAACCAACTTGGTAAGATGCAGCTGTGTGCAAACTCTTTTATTAGATAACAAAGCGTGGATAAGCGCTTTAGGTATGAAACGAAACACAAAAGCCCATCTGGCTGACTGTTGCAAAAAAGCATTGTTGATGTGCACAGAACAAGCAAGGAAATGGTTGAGAAAAACATTCACGTATTGAACCGGTCGTTCCCGAGACGGATGGGAAAATCGGTAGCGGCTGGCACATTTCACGAGGAGAAAAATGAAAAAGAAGCATTTAGATGGGATCACGGATCAAGGTTCTATGCCGGAAAGACCACACGGTAAGTTGTGTTGAGGGGATAAGGCGAGGCGAAAATAAAGTCCTCCAAATAGTGCATATGGCAATAAGTCAAAGGAGGGAAGCAAACAAGCGAATTGAAAAGAAAAGAAGGAATTTGAAGCATTCGGTCCCCTTTATCCATGGTAGCAATATGGAAGGAAGACAAATACGGCAACATGTTAGCAGTTCGTTTTCAATCACTGACTTAGACGGGCAATAATGTTTTCCGACACATTCGGCGCCGTCCAAATACAAAATATCGGACAATGGAGCATTCTCTTCACAAAATTGGTTGTAATCAATCTGGTCCGTATGTTTTTGGCCGGGTGGGGTGGGTGAGTGGGTTACCAACTGTAGCTCTTCACATATTTCTGTCGGGTCGGTCACCGACGAAATAGTGCACAATTGTGTTGTATTGTGTATAACTTTTGCAAGTACTGGAGCTCACATTTCAGTTAAAAAATTATACACGTTAATCGTCATAATGAACATAGCAAATTATGAAATTTTCTTCACAGAAATGAGGATATTTAATAACCCAGGGTTAGGAGAAAGTTCACTTATTGTTAGCTCTTTGAGTAGACGAGCAAGAACGGTATGGGTGAATTGCGGTAAGCGTTAATTCGAGATGAAATTTGACGGAATTGGGAGCGTGTTGAATGATGGTAATGACAAAGTGTCAGTTCTGCATGCAATGGGTGGTCCGGATCTGTGAGGATCCTCTCGGCAAATTTCACACAGGAAGTTACATGATACTCTGAAAGCTTTAAAGCTAACTCATTCACAGGAATGGGAGAGACATGACTCATAATGGTTAAACCGCGTCGTAAGACTTTGAAGTCCTGTTTGAGTAAACCAGGAAAAATAACTGTGGAACAGTAGAGTAAGATGGGGAAACACATTGATAAACAAAAGTAGAAACAACTGACTGGGATGCGCGAAACTGCCTGAGCTTTCGTATTTGAAATGAAAGGCGTCGCAGTTTACCAATGCAGTTGTGGATGTGGGTTGACCAATGAAGATTGCTATCTATGGTTACACCAAGATATTTGAATTGTTATTA